CCTACAACTTACAAATTAGTAATACAGCACATAACACATTTACTAGCAAGGAGAGTGTTAGTATTAAACCGGGCAGCCACTGGTTGTTGGCTGACGCGATTCAATGAGAACGCAACAGATAACATTTAATGACCATTTGTTCTTACTGCTGCCGACAATACAAAAGGCATTGCGTCATGTAGCGCTTATGGAGCGAGGGTTGTACAACCATTGTACGATATGGTGAATGCCCAGATTTAACAGTGGCAGCGCCACGATTTGCCTAATGAGAAAAGTTTGTATTTCCAATCTTTTTTTAAATTGCACAAAGTATACCAAAACAAGGAGCCCAGGAAAAAATAAACAATTGTTTTACTCTACAAAATGGCTGACAAAAACCCAAATCATTACCGTTTTACTAACATCAAATACATAAAAACTAGCACCATATCACGGCTCTTTTTTCCTTTATTAAGTAATATTGTATGACCATGGCCAGTATGCAAAACACAACATAAATATGAAATTGAAATATAAATATTTTAGGATACCAAGCAACAGTGGTAACTTTTTCGTTTTTTCTAAAATTATTATTTTTTTTTTTTAACAACAGTAGTTATGTTCCAGGTGTCCCGAGTCCCTTGGAAATCGGATGACCTTCAGCACTCCCGCAAGCAAACAATAATCTCCCAGAAATAAGCTATCCAACAAATTTTTAATATGTGCATGTTTTCAATACTATATTATCCATTGTCTCGTGGAAGTCTGTCAACTTGGTGGCCTTGGCTAAAAGTAAAACTTTATTTTTGCTTGAAATAATTGGTGGGTTTGGAAAAAACAAGGTAGAATAAACTACATACTCAGTGAGGCAAATGATATAAATATAAAACTTCTGCTATAGGTATATGCAAAATCTCTGTTATCACATCGACTTTTCCAGACGTACACAGAAGCGAACATTTCCATACTTAATTTATCAAACATTTTATTCTATTAAAAACATAACACTAAACAACCAACTAAACATTTCCAACAAAATTTCAAATTTACAAATTCATTATCATCAAAGATATCTTCTAAATAACAGTAATTTCTCTCCCTTTCTACTCAATTTATGAAGTGAAAATATATGTTAATGTCCCTTTGCATTTACTTGTCACTGATTGGTCAGTGTATGACATTAATTGGTCAGTTACAAGGCGTACAATTTTAGTTGATCTTGGACGTCGTTCATATTATCAATGCCAAAGGTGTCCTTGCTCTGTTCCATAAGTTGGAATATTGCCTCCAGCTGCGATTTTTTTGCTCTGTAAAAAATAATAGTTGTTTTTTTTTGTGGATTTACCTATTAATTCCTTTACTCATAATAATATGAATGATAGTACATATTAATATTAAAAATTTTGCTGTAATAATGATACAGTATGTAATAATAATTTAGTTGAAAGGAACTGGCCACCTGCCACACAATGCCAAGATTTAGTACAATGGGCACCCAAAAGCTAATTCCACTACGTTCATTAATGTATATGGGCTGCCTTTACCTTTAAATAATAATATCACAATTGCAATATTTCATTTTGATCGTTTTG